CAGGCAATTGACCGCCGGTGTTGGCTTGAATAAATTCCAGCCGAGAGGCCTAATTTTCGCCCACTTTTTTTTGTGATATTTAAAATTCTTATGTATTGATCATAAAGACATCGATCGACAAAGCGCTTTAATTCTGTCATAAATTTGTTGAGGCTATTGTTATCAATTTCGGCTATTTCCCTAAAGTGCCTGAATGTTTCCATATCACCTTCTTCCATACATCATTGAAAAGTTGCGTCCAACAAATTGAATTACTTTCATAAGCCTAATTTTTTAAATGCCACTTACTATATGGAGGAAGATTTAGCCTAGAATCTCATTGGAAAACCTTAAGACTAAGCTTAAAATTTGTCTTCAAATGATCTCTGACTCTATGGTTTGACTTGTTATGTTCTATTACTAAAAATTGATGTTTTTTAGACGTGTGGTTTTCAATGAGGCAATATTTATTTCGGAGCTGGTATTTTTGACGGATGTTAACGGATTTATACTCAGTGTGGTTTGCCATTCGATGATAAATAGACTTACTCCGGAACAGAATTAGCAAATCGTGCAACTTACCAAAATAAATGCTCAGTTTAAGCGACACATTGCGTGCTATGTTCAATATTCGGTCAACATAATTGCCCAGCAGAGTCGGTAATTCGAGAAATCATGGATCGGTTTCGCACCACGTTTACTCTAGTGGATAATGCGTATCCTCAAAGATGCCGTATAGTATCGAAGAAGACCCGAATGAGACCATCCGCCATCGCGGGCACCAATTGGAGCGGTGTTCATCCACTTTGTGGAAGATTGTGTGGAAGCATCTGGGTTTGCGGGCTTACAAAATTCAACTCGTGCAAGAATTGAACTATGGAGCTAACTTTTGCTAAAATGGGTACGTTAATAAACAAACCCGCTTATTTACGCAGACAAACTTGAGACGATTGATGCTCTGGAAAAGAATATTCGACGCATTATTGCTGACATCCCCCAAATTTTGCAAAATATGATAAAAATTGGGCCCATCGGCTTGAATTTATTCTAGCCGCCGCGGCGGTTACTGGCCCGAAATAATTTTTTAAACATAATGACAAACCCTTATTTATAAAAAATTTAATTATTTTTATTTCTTCTTGAAAACCACATGTCCAAAAAATATCCTTTAATATACTATTATAAATGGATAAAAGTAATATATTGATAACAGCAATATTCTCGGTAGAGAGGTAAACGCGGTCAGTACAATTTTCATCGTTTGCAACCTTTTAGCTTTTCCGATAAACTTGGTAAATATTCATATGTATATATGTTAGTCTGCATCCAACTCAATTATTTACAACATACATACAACCGTTAGATGAACAATCCTGAGTTCCCTATACAACAGGTTGTGCGCCAGCATAAAAACATCGGTAACCTGCTACATGTGATTGAATAAATTTTGAAAAAACATTCAATAGCTGCACTAAGCTACAAGCAAATCTCAGCCATTGGGTATACAAACACAGCTAATCGCAAGAAGCTCAATAAATTAAATCATGAATAACAATGGTTGTGTAAAAGAAAGTCGTCGCCAATTAAGCTCGTAAATTTGACTGCCCACAAAAGAAAAAGATCCAAAATAAAAAACGAATATATTTACAAGACAAGAAAAACAATAATAATCGAAAATAAAGCATACCAAAAATAGAAGACGAAGAAAAGCTGTGGGAAAACAACAATCAACTGCAGAAGCTCGTAACTGGTCAGCCGCTAGAAAACTGGTAGTTGGCGAAACGGCGCCCCCATAAAACGAGTTGGATTTCGTCACACGCGCCAGTGAAGATGTCACACATCGGGCATGAGCACCCCCGAATTATCATTAGCTCCGCCACATATAATCACAGAGGTATAAATATTTATAACCAGACATCTGCGCACATCAATAGCCGGCGCTTTGTGAGCCAATTTGTCATCTTGCTACTTAAGCCGCTTAAAAATAGCTATGTGTGCGTTTACAAACGCGCCTCGGGAACCCACGCACGAGTAGCCGAACTGGCGGGTAATAAGTCATATAAAAATGGTTAATATGTTTGGTAAATAGTATTAACCAAATTGATCATAAAATTGTTTAGTTGTATGGGTGTGTATAACAAAGTTAGCGATTAACAACTTTATTCGCTGCTTTATCAGTGGACGTGTGTATAAGTGTGCTTATGTGTATTGGCATTTGACGACTCCCCATGGATTATGAATGTAGTATAAACTGCAGTTTAATTGCTTTTCATTGGAACGTGTTCTTGCTGTTGTTGTTTGCAACTAATTTGCTGCTGTTGCAACAATAATGCGTTCGAACGCTGAACGAAGCCGGAGTGATCACAAATCGCATAGACATCACATGCTGAATGTGATATCACATCACCACTTCGGCTTGCGGTTGTTCGCGCGCTTTTTCTAAGTTTTTCATACGTGAGTGTGCGTGTATGTGATATATTTGTATTTGTCTTGTCATTATTCATTCTTGGCTTCCTTTGCGCTGCTAATTTGTTCGCTATTGTGTTCTGTCATTCTATCGGAGCTCGGTGATTAAGAAGATCAGAGATCAAACAGTAGCAGCTTACCCCCAATCAGACATAGAGAGCATCGTAAGCTTACCAATTAATTACAATAACTTGTGGTATTTGTTGTTGGAGATCTCGATTCTCAACTAAGCAAATAATAATTGATTTTACATACGTACATATATGTATATTATAAGTTGACTTGAATTCAAACTTTAATCTCGTTTTACCTGTTCACCACTGGCTTCCAATCGCTTTGCTAGGTCCACCAATGAAGAATTTCACCCAAAAGTAATACTGGTATATCCTTCTTAGCAATTCAATATCAATCTAATTTGAGGCTTCTCTTTAGCGACAGGTTTGATGTCGTTCGATGTTCGTTGTATTAGTTCGATGCGACGGTTTTGCTGGTTATGATTTGAAGGCAACTGTTGCATTCCATTTGACTTGCAAAAGGATTTAAATCATTGAAAATGAAGGAAGTGGACACTAATTTGATCTTTGTTTCCTAAGAGTACAATACATTTTTGATTGAATTTCTAAAGGTATTTCATTCATCATACGAGGTGTTTTCACAAAATAACGGAGAATAATAAAATTTAAAATTTCGCGGTTTTGGAGAGTCCTACTGTCAAATTATTTTTAATATGTGATTATTTTTAATATGTAATATTAAGACGTGTTTTTATGAGTTCAGCGATTTTCGTTTGTTCAAAGCGCACACTTTATTACTTCTTAGTGAATTCTCGGCCAAAACCAATACTGTAACGATGCCCCAGCCTTCATATTCGCCAGATATGGCTCCGTGTGACTCGTTACTTTTCCAAAAATAAAGAGAGTTTGAGAAGTGTTTCGATGATTGGAAGAAACGCTCGCAAAACTGCATAATATCGAACGGGGACTGTTTTAAAAACGATATCATTAATGTAGACGGATGAATTAATTTTTTTTTTCAAAAAACGAAAATTCCCTTTATTTTTTGAACACACTTCGTATAGTCTATTACAGGGGTCTTGAAATTTACTTTAAATAACTAAAGTGCAAATATTAAGTAAATATAGAAATGTCTTCGCATGACTTTTTCAAGTGTTTCTTGATGTTTGGCAATTAAGTCGAAAATTCAAATCTGGAATTTAATTCTTTAATGGGTTAACAGTTTTAAATTTCAATTCATATATGTCAAAATATTCGCATATTTGACGAAATTTATCCCCAATATATTTCTTAAACTCTTACATAATTTAAACAAAACCTTTCCTACTAGGCGATATGAGTTGCTTTGAGTTGGGTTGAGTTTTTTGAAGTTACGTAACATGAGATCATATTAGACATCATTTGAGTGAAATTGTATGGGATGATGATGTGAGCTCCACCATTATTTTGATCTGGGTTTCTTTAGACTCCTTTTGTTTATATCGGTATTAGAGTAAATCATGTAAAAATATAGTGAGAAATGCCAAAATACAGTTACGAAGGGCAAATTAGAATTCGATAACATGAAGGATCTAACTTGGACTGCTACAAAACATTGTGAACAGCCTTGGGCATATATAAATATAATGATGCTAATAAAGATCTTAAAAATATATAGCAAAAGGGTTAAAAAGCTTTTACAACTGTGTTGTGTATCTTTAAGATTTAAGGTGCCTCAAAAGGGCTGAAGGATCATTGGACAGTTTATTCCAAACAAATCAAATCGTTGCACACCTAGCGTAACCTTATTACCTTACGAAAAATGTTCCCCCTTATCAATATAAGTTTCAAATGAGTGATATCATTCCATATAGTGAACCGAAATATGTATCAGGTAGGCAGGTATCTCCATTAAATTGTAAGATTTCTATCAAATTAACATAATTGTTTAGAAGAGTTCAGTTAACAGATATGGAAGAAACATGTTGTATTATTGAAGGAACAATGTACAAATTTTTAAAGTTATTTAAAGTCATGAGAATCTCTCTCCGACTAGAATTATCCTCCATTTGCACTATCCTCTATGAATACGTAAATATTTAATGGAATCAAATGCACCATCATATGTTTTGACTTAATTACGAGTATTTCCGATTTGCTGTCTGGAATGATGAAGCACATCGACGATTCAGTAATACTTGCTCATCAATTAATTACGCCGCACCATAGTCATCAAAGTTGGTTTCACAGCCTAAAAAGCAAAAAAAAACAGCTGTAGCCAATTAGAATTCATTCAAAATCCGCACTTGACTGAAACACGCCAGCAACTATCGCTAACTAAGCGCACTATCGCATCCCACTGCCAACAACTGCACACATCCACTTACACTCATGCGCATAGAGCGATCACAGGTGAGTTCGTGCGCTGCGCATGACTCGAACTTGAACTCTAAGCGCGCGTTCGAGCCCAAGTTGCGCGCAATCACACACGCACAGCCGACATTCGAACCAACTGCTTTGCCTGCTGACCAAAACACTCGATCTCAGTTGCTAGTTCCTGCACAACATTCGAACTGTTTAGAGGTGTTTCTGAAGTGTTTCGGCAAACTATACGTGTGCTTGTAGACGCGGATGATTCGCATTCATCGAACGCTCGAACGTCGAATAAGTATTCTGTTCTTCTGTGTGTCTCACGTAAATAATTTCATGATGAGCTTCAGCAGTGATACCACATATTCTTGCTACTGATATTTTGTGAATAAGTGAGTGGCATCCCGCTGGTGCGAAATCCTTAAAAAGGTTTTTAATTGAGTGTGGCGTGCAGTGCGTGACAATTTTATCACATTGGCCGCAGCACTTAGGATGTTTTAGGTGGTACTCGTCAGCGGCTCAAACTGTTTTATGAGGCTGAAGTGTTGACCCGCGGCTTGTGACAAAGCCGCCAAACAGCAGCACAATCGCTTTTCGGCGATTAAACATTAAGCGTTCGGCGCTGCTTCAGCAGTCAAATACATATAATGTCCGCGCTACCGCGTCAGCTTAACAATGTGATTGGATAATTTATCTCGGCACATTAGAATATTTTGGTGGTAAGCTGTTTTCACCTGCTGTGCATTTTATGGGTTTGCATCAATCCTCGCGCTGCCGCCGCTGACGGCTTGACAAACACGCCATCGGTGAGCTGGCACAGCGCATAGTAGGGGCTTTTATTTAAAAAAAAAGCAAAAGCAAAACTAAAATAACAAAAACGCTCACTGAACGCGCGGAATATGAATAAAATGGGAAACGTAGCGAATATAACACAATAAATAAATTAAATAAATCAAGGCATAAAAAGAAGATGCATGTGTTTGTATGAATATATATAAATATGTTATATTATATATGAGCGCTGGAGATGAATGCGCCGAATGACTGAGTTGCGCGGAGCTCAGTTAGAAGTCGCAGCGATTGCTGAGTTGGCCAGCAACAAATAGCCTGAACTTGATGATGATTGCCGCGCTGAGTGGCCACAGCAACACAACAACTCTTTTTTATACTCTCGCAACCTGTTGCTACAGAGTATAATAGTTTTGTTCACCTAACGGTTGTTTGTATCACCTAAAACTAATCGAGTTAGATATAGGGTTATATATATATAAATGATCAGGATGAAGAGACGAGTTGAAATCCGGGTGACTGTCTGTCCGTCCGTCCGTCTGTCCGTCCGTCTGTCCGTCTGTCCGTCCGTCCGTGCAAGCTCTAACTTGAGTAAAAATTGAGATATCTTTATGAAACTTGGTAGACATGTTTCATGGTACCGTGAGACGGTTGGTATTGCAGATGGGCGTAATCGGACCACTGCCACGCCCACAAAACGCCATTAATCAAAAACAAATAACTTGCCATAACTAAGCTCCGCAATAAGATTCAAGACTGTTATTTGGTACACAGGATCAAATTAGGGAGGGGCATCTGCAGTTAAAATTTTTTTTAAAAAAGTGGGCGCGGTCCCGCCTCTAATAGGTTTAATGTGCATATCTCCTAAACCGCTAATGCTATATTAACAAAATTCACTGGAAGCAAATATTTTTAGCACTTCTATTGACGGTGTGAAAATAGAAAATAATCCGCCCACTCCCCATATAACGGTACTCTTAAAAACTACTAAAAGCGCGATAAATCAAGCACTAAACACGCCAGAGTCATTAAATTTTATCTCTGGGATGGTATGAGATGACTTTATAGGAACCGCGTTCAAAATTAGACAGTGGGCGTGGCACAGCCCACTTTTAAGTGAAAACCCATATCTTGAGATCTGCTTAACCGATTTCAACCAAATTCGGTGCATAACGTTCTTTTCATGTTTCTATGTCACAGTGCAAAAATGGGCGAAATTGGACTACAACCACGCCTACTTTCCATATAACACCATTTTAAATTCCATCTGATTATTTCACTTTCCACTATGCAAATCAGGCAACAATGACTGTATCGGGATAAAACTTTGCGTGAATAATGCGATTAAAGTATGCCACCTTGTGGCCAAAAATTGTCTAAATCGAACCAAAACTGTTTAAGCCCCTAAGTACTAAATATGTGGACCCCAGTGCCTATAGTTGACCTTCTACCGAAAATATCAGCCAATCCACAAAGAAATCTCAAACGAGTATGCTATTTGACTTTGCGAGAGTATAAAATGTTCGGTTACATCCGAACTTAGCCCTTCCTTACTTGTTATTATTATTATTTTCAATATTAGTTATGTATGTTTTGTTGCTGAAGAAGCGTGAACGCGATTTTGAAGAAGTGAATTGAATAAATAACCAAATAAAAAACCCCGTCAAATGAGTTCACAACTAATCGAGTTAGCTATTGCAAGCTAGTCGAAATTGAGATGGAACGAGCCGTTATGTGGCGCTGCCACCCAACAGAAGGCTTAAAAACGCATACCATCCATAACTCCATATATGCTCGCATCTGTTCGCTGGGAGTGCTGAACATCACTCAGCGCGCTGCTGAAAAATAGACCAAATGATTTATGCTAATCCCGGCGTACAAAGCGTCTGCCGGTGCTCAGCGGGCCGTCGTGTCGACTCGCTGTAGTGCGCAACAACAACAACAACACATCACATTCATATGCAGATACCTGTGTGTTCGGGATTGTTTGGCCGCATTCATTTGCTAGCTTGTCTGCGCAGCCTCAATCTTAGTTAGCATAATGACTTAATAACTTTATGCATAGTTGGCCCCACTCGAATTGACACATATACCTTGCGGCCAGTTTGTGGCATGCCACATGATTTGTGAAATGTTGTTAGCCAATGTAAGCGAGTTGCGTGCTCGACAAAGCGGGCTACTCCCAAATTAACGTGTGAATTTGTAGCAGCATTTGCATAACGAATGAAACGGGCAGCTTACGTACATACATATATACATATATGTATAAGCTATGACAAATATGCTGAAAAACAACTGACTTGAAGCTTTGGCTTTGATTTGTACTGTCAAAGAATACTATTGTATGACATGATATGAGCAATTAAATTTAGATTTTTACGACCATTAGATCCATATTCCTAATAACACCGATTAAGAAATTAAAAACATGTTATTACCGTTAAATAAAGCGTCAGTAAAAATAAAAATTAAGTATTATGGATTAAACTGTTATTATCTGTAAAAAATATGATATTAGCCCCGACAACTAATAAGCGAGTTGCAAGAGAATGCTCGCTGAAATAGTAACAGATTTGTGATTTAAAAATTAAAACTGAACTATTTTTCCGACCTCAACGAAAACATGACATATACAATGACATAAACATGAGTAATACAATACAAAATGTGTATAGTGTAGTGTATAATGTGTTGTTAGTGTCGTTAAATACATACCAGAGTTGTGTGTTCTATTGACACTCGTCTTCGAACGAAGCATATATAAAATATATTAATAAAATACATGTGTGCTGACTATGAAAAAATTATCACTATTAACTACATACATAACATAATAGCTGCCTTCGCCAATCCTTGGAGAATAACAAATCGAACAAACTATACCAGATTCTCAAACGAACGGGCAGCCCTTGTGGTGTAACCTTGCGCTAACATGTCTTCTGAAGCAAGAGCAATGGTGTTATGATTTTTTTTAGGGAATAAATTCTTCTTTTCGCATTAAAAAACGTTTCAGTAACCTTTTATCATTTTTCTATTAATGATCTTAAGCATTAAGCTCACAAAATATAAAAAAAGAGATTTTTATTTTCATTTGTTATTTGTTAAAATATGCCAAAAAAAAAAATTGCTCCCACTTTAATAAGGTATCCGCCTACTATCTTGTACAAATTCAGCTCAACAACTTTGTTGTTGCATTTACAAGCAATTTTTTTGACAAGAGAGCAGAAGCGAGCAGAGAAACCGGGTGTCGAAGACATATATTACTAACCTTTCTATTTTTGATTTTAATACACATAGCTTAACCTCCGCTGTTATAACGTTATTAGATTACAGAGCTGGTTAACACAACTTCAAAAACTACCTTGACGTCTTACCAAATCAATAAATGTGACATTTGTGAAAATAGTTTTATTAGAATATGCTATGTCCAGAAAGAAACTGAGACAGATAAGAGTCAACATCTCCAAGCCAGTTGCAAACCTGTTGATCAGGTTTAATCTTAGTGAGCTGCTACATATGGTCAAAAGACCAAAAGAATCGTTTTAATAACATATTGAAAGACGTCTCTTGAAATGGTATTGATATCACATTCTTCAATATTTATGACTTAACTGCTGATAAAATTTGCATTAAGGGTTTTCGCATCTAGCTTCTATTGAACAATATCCCTTCCTTCCAGCCGGAAGGGAATGCAAAAACAAAAATAGATTGACAGATTAAGCTTAAAGTGAATTTCGAATTTAAAGCTAACGTACATTGTAAGTGTATTTCATGGAATATAGATAGAAGTATAAAAATGAATCAAATTATATTAATCTTAATTTACAAAATTATAGAGAACTGAAATAGACAAGAGCGCATTTCTGAATCGACTGAGTAATATTTAGAAAATGGTAATTCATTGTGGAAAATCGAATGCAATTAACAAGAGGGTCAAAAATTTCGAATGCATTATGATGTTGAATTATCAAACTTTCATAGTAATTGTAAACAAAATCTTCCCCTGCTTTCGTTCACGACGTCACGCAGCAATGCATTTATGTCAAAATCACTCCAAAAAAAAAGTAACGGAAAAAAAGTATCGTAATATGTTTTTCTAACATATTTGGTATACCCGAATAAGTAATTTCAATCGCTGTTGAATATTAGTCATTCAATTCAATATTTATTTTCTATTACATAAATGCTATTCCATTATTAAACATCACATTTTTAAATAAGATTTATTCGAATACCAAAAAACGACTGAGACCCTTAAAAAAATACATATACTTTTTTTCTTGTTTTTCTGTTATGTTTCTGAAACAACTTTTGGTTATGAGAAGACGCCTAGATCTTAGAAAATAATATCGTTTCCAAGTATTGTATGCAGAAGCAATAAAACAATAAATAAAGGTATAATTAAAATTTTTTTTTTGTTTCATTTATTTTTTTTTTTGTTATCATAATATTTTTTGAAAGCAATAAGAAGTAGCTTGAGTTCGTAAGCCTCGTGCAGGAAAAATAATTAAACAAAATACTGCTTCCTTGAAAATATTATATATATATTTATAGCTAATGTTGTGTCATTAAAAATATTAACAATTTGCAGCAAAATTTGCACATACCTACAACACATAGTCAAAATACATACAAACAAGCATATATCAAAACACATTTAATATGAGCACATAAACAATTTGTAAGAAGACACATGCGTGCAATTTCCAACTAAAAGCCAGCACTTAAACGCTTCCACATAAATATCTAGTATTGCTTACGTGTTACAGTGCAAGCGAAGCTCGTCGATAGTGAACTGAGATTTCAAAGCTGCAGGTGCAAAAATAAAAACCAAAAAAATTAATGTACAAATATAAGCACCAACAAATCTAGCTCCTTACCGGACGTGGCTAACTACGAACACGCACTTTTTGTTGTTATTGTTTTTTGTTTTTTTGTATTCTTGTGTTGTTACTGCGAATTTAACGCACGAATCTTGCTCGCATTGCTTGCTATCCATGCGCTTGGTGTGAATTCTAACAACTTCCAATTTTACCAACAATCTTTGCAACAACAATAACATTAACAACCAGCGAACAAGCAACATTTCCTTGTGCGAGCAATCAACTCAACAGCAGTGGGCCAGCCCATCCAATTAGCGTCCGAATGCCCAGCTTAACGCCACCATTCGACACCTAAACGCCAAACTGTGAAATTCGAAGCGTTTAGCAAACTCACATTCGCCGGGAAATGCGATCAACACACGAGTATATACTTAAAATAATAATAGGAAAATCTTGATTACATACAAATATATTTTATTTTACATAAGCAAATATTTTGTTTAAAAAGTGCAAACATATGTATGTGTGTGCGCCGATGAATTGAGTGAGCTCGAAGTGCGTTAGTGCCGTGATTGTTGTTGTATATACTCGTATGTGTAGTGATACAATGCGATTGCCAGACGCATACACAAAAACGCTGCGAAGAAATGTGGAAAAATCGTAACAAGCTCTTTATATTTCTGCTTTGGATCATGGAAATAAGGTGAGTGACATTCAAAGTAGACATTTGCCTATGTACTATATATACTTAGCACACCAGATGTTATATGTGCGTGTGCGAAGTCAAGATTTAAGCGATCGCGGAGTACACCAAGGTCATTAGCTCATTGGCTCAGTGTGCGCGAAAATTGAAGTTGCACTCATACAATTTAAGCTGATTAATTTAGCAAAGGTATTACTTACACTAAATTGATTGCTTGATTATCGACTTTTCGGTAAGAATGTTGAGTTCTAATGAAATCTGTTACAAGGACATTCTGTGTCATAAAATATATACTTATGTGTATTAAGCCTTGTCTTCAATGCGCCACTTAGCTGATCATTAAGCCTAAGCTCTGCTCTCTGGTCAAAATATTTGCATGAGAAGGCGAAGGTGTACCGCAGAATTCAATGCCAGTTAATTTGTAGATACCGCATTAAAGTGACAAAATCGCATGCTATTTGACTTAGACCAGTTTTACCAGTTTCAAAGTTTTGGCGAAACGAACACGACAATGAGTTATTGCGAATTATTGAAAAATATATAATTTACTGCAGAAAACTTTAGTTTGAACAATCTAATATACAGTTTGAGAATTTCATTTTCAATATTTAATTAAAGAATTGATCAAAAGGTATACACTGCCTAATCGAACAAATATGAAAAAAGAAATTAATTTGGTTTCTTGGTGGAATATTTAGATGTAGAAACCACAATAAAAATAAAATTCGACACAAGGAAGTATAATTTTTTTTAATGCTACCAAGTTTTTTTACGCAGTTTAGATCACTTTTGCTATTGTGAATGGCTAAAACGTCACACTACTATCAAAATGTCAAGGGAAGATAAGCCGTTTGTATTTATTTAAGTAAGGTTTACTCCCTTATAGTAATCTTCTAGTACAAATATAACAATTATAAATTAAATTCTCTCTTACTTAATTGAACTATCTTTCCTATTTCTAATTAAATATTCAAAGTTTGTTTATTATCTGAACAATTAGTTCCTTACTTCCTAAAATAATAGATTTACTGTTACATATAATTTTCGACAAATTTTTTTCAATCGTACCAGTCTGTTTGAGTACCAAAAAGGTAGCAATAGATAGATGTACTGCTCCGAAGTGCAGCTTCCTTCAGAGAGATGTGTATTCACTCCGATTGCGCTCAAAACTAGTGAAAGAGTGCATGACCTCATGAGCAATAGCTTCAAACTTCTTCCATTTTAGATTTGTGTGGGTACCCAATCGCAGCAGAATCGCTGGAAACTGCAAGGCCGACGAGCTTGCTAGATTGTGCATCCTTACCCCAACTTTATTTGATAGGAAGCGGGTCGGTTTTGCGATGATTTCTTGCGTTCTAGCCTCCTCTATGGACCTCCAATGAGCTCAGTAAGTGCTGGTTAAACCCCAGAACTTGTGCGGCTGCGAGATGCTTCTGGCCCAGAGGGACGCTCTTTGCCAAAACTGTATGGAGGAAGGCGAGGTGGAATCATCTTGCCACTTTCTTCTCTATTGCCCGGCTTTTGTCCGACTGAGATTTCAATATCTCGGAACACACACCTTCGGCAAACATAAGGAAGTGGCTGGGATTGATATTAACCGCCTTGGCAAATTTGTGATAAGCTCAAAACACTTCGTCGATCTATGAGGATTTGGTAATCCATTTATAGGAGTTTATGGGTAACACAAGGAAAGAACATCAAGTGCATTTACCAAAATACTTATTCTTTGTTATTATTTGAATCAGTTTAGTTTTATTCGCTTGTGAGTAGTGCAAAATGTTGGCTGTGGTTGTGCGTGTTTGTTCTAGCCGTTTAACTTGCAAGTGAACTTCTTTAAATTGTACAAGTATAGTCTCAGCTTCATCTTCCTATGTTTAAGAACCCAGATACTAGTGATGTCTTGTAGTTATTAATGGCGATCATAGGATAAAAATTGCTGACAGATTGTCCAAGCAAATTGCTGCTTCTGTATTTACTCGAAGTGATTCGAAATACTTTTCCTTCGCTTTCTAAGATGCTTGCGGAGTTCTGTAGATTAAAAGTGAGACAGATATGGAAAATCATACGTTTTTGCTTTCAAGTATGCGTAACATTAAAACTTTCTAAAAAACAAAGCACACATCTTACATGATAACAAAAATAACTGTATTTTTGTCTCTTGATTTACATTTCGCTTATAAAACAATGTCTTTGGTGCGATGCTAATGAGGTAATTTAATCGCGTTCATTTATTTGCAATGTTAAAGTTGACAGCAAACACTAATTTGCATATTAAATAACAGTACATCGTATGCGTTGTCGTCAAAATCAATTGAGTTTGATTTATTACGTTTTTAGCAAATCATCAGCTTGTAAGAAAATTTGTGTTCGGCAACATGTTTATGAGCCCATGAATTTCCATAATATTTGTTAACATAAAATGTAAAATTAACAAACTAAAAACAAAAAAGAAAACAACAACTAAATATAACTACAACAAAAATGCGCATTTTTAACGCCCAAACACCGAAAACCGTTTCGGCGACTGGAACTGAAACTCGGCGCGATTGTCGTTTGTTGCTTTGTCAATGGCGTTGCTGCAATCACGTCCACCCCCACTGTCGCGCCATTTACATCACTCACTTGCTGCCTATCTGTTATGTCTGTACATCCGACATTAGACAAGCCTCAGTGACTCAGGTCCCAAAATGTTGAGCGAATAAAAATGAAACATAAAAAAAGGTAAAACCTCATTAAAATATCCAATTAAGCTGGCCAACAAGCAATAATTTAAGTAAATTTCTATTTCCAACGAAAAATCAATTTTCCACCATTACCACATCAAAAACTTGCCATTCATCCATCGCTTTATCGCAACAACCGACCGACCAACCGGCCGACTGCCATTCAATAGCGAATAAGGCAGCCTCACAGCCTACAATTGCGCCAACGAAGCCGCACTTAGCGCGCAGCTGAAAAGGTAAACAAATACGCGGCGGGAAGGGCTTGAATTTATCTAGTATTGATGCCTCTGCGAGCTTCAGATAGTTGGACGAACCTGCAGTCATCCATCATATTGTTTGCGTGTTTGTTTGCGACGCGCGTCAGTTTGTGCGCCTGTCAGCCTGTCGATTTAGCTATTCATCTGTTCATTGCATTTGTCGCGTGAGTGCCCGAATGCCTTCCGACGATCTGGCGAGCTGACGGCTGGTGAATGCCAGTTTACCAGAGCACAAGGCACAAGTTCTACGTGTGTACCTTTCGTCGAACTACACTCGCTTACAATCCTTCGTGCAGGTATTTCACTATCTAATTGCCCGCCAAAGCCATTCAATATGGCATCTGCATGACAATTCCACAATGAGCCATTATGTCAATTAGATCGATGGGTGAGAACTGAAAAACGGGATAGGCGTAGTTCGGCGGAAATAATTAAATGGCATTATATTTAAACCGCCAGCTAGGAAAAACTCTTCTCAAGTGCGTTTGGGTCTGTAAGAAAACTAGAAGATTAATCGGAATTAATAATATTTTAAGCCTTCCAGTCGACCTTGTCATAAAGCTTTTGTCACCCTTCGAGTTTTTTTATACCTATTTTAGCAATTGTGACTTTAAAAGTAGTTCCTTATATCAATTGCAATCAACAAGCGCTGTTAAACTTCCTCGTATAGTTCTTACGTTAAAAAGCCTACCATGAAGATTACCATTACTTGAGACTTGTAGCTCGTTCTATTTGTCAGATGAAGCTCAGCTAATCATCTAGCGAAGGAGCAATCGCCAATAATTGCATTTCAAAGAGGAAAAAGTTGTTCCGTGATAAAAAAGTAGCACGAGTAAATGTAGCCTCTGTAAAACTTGGTAGCACTATATTTTGATCTCTATCAAACTTAAAAAAAAAAGCTGGATATACACTTGTCACTTAGTCAAAACTAGCTTTCTTAAAAATGATTAATGTGAGTTTGATTTTATTTTCCTTTAGTGTTGACTATCATCTCTCTAACCCACTTTTGTACAACTTATACTCTTTGAAAATACGTTCATTCAGTTTTTCAAGTTCATACTTCTCATATTACTAAATACACTTGACCTTGAAGTCATAAAAGAGACTGATTTAAATTTACTAATGTCTTCCACCTCAGCTAGGTGTTTTCAATACTGCTTATAATCTAAGTTAGTATGCGGTATTCATTATTTTTGTGTGCCCAGAATTTCTTATACAACGCTTATAAAATTCAGCTGTAAGTGAAATAAAAAAAATTAAATATGGTTTGTGAAAAAGAATTGGTGTAATTACCACACTTAGCCGAACTCCTTGCGCTGAGAATTCCGCGCCCAAGGCTGACACACGGCTGACATTAGCTGCAAGGGCACAGACATAGGCAGCATTGCAATAGCGATCAAGATCACTGGCGAGAGCGGTCACGACAGCAGCCGCGATGACGCGCGAAGGCGACAGCACCGTCTACGACCGATGGCGTTGGACGTTAAAACCGTTGGTGATGATGGAAATACTTATAATGGGGAGCAAGTTGCATTTTAAACAGCACAAATATGTATTTATGAAAAAACCTTTGTTTTCGCTTTAAGGACAGGGAAGAATTTAAGGAGAAGATGCATGACGAATGAAAACTAAATATTACAGAAACATAGAATTACTAGAAAAGCGCCAGCAAAAAGTATGTATTGTTTGTAACAATGACAATAACGAGGCCGAACGAATTTGGCTGTAGCGGCTAAGGTAAAAGGAACGGTTCTACCAGAGTCAGAGTCAGTGGGTAGCACTAACTAGGCAACGTGCTGTTATAAAAATAGCGCAGACAGAGAAAGGTCCTCAACTAATGTTGTTTTATTTATTCATTTCTTTTATAAATTCACTGCTCCACTATTCAGCCTACCCGCTAGATGCGGTACACGGCAGTTGGCGTCTTGTCGTGTCCAAATGTTGGCGAATGTCGTCCAACTGTTCGTCAACTCGTCAGGCAGCCGTCCAACTAGTCACTTGGATATTTAAGACATTTGGT